TCAGGTGTGAGTAACTGAAGTCCAAATATCCGTGGGAGAGTATTTACTGAACAGTTTAATTATTCGCAAAATAGCACCTACTAAATAAGCTTTCACTTTCACACGTTCCAATCACAGAAAAACATAACCTCGAATCTAACTGAGCAAAGACGTGATTTCATAAATCAGTTGAAAAAGTGGCATACATTGTCGTAGCCTAAGCATATATATAGAACGTATACATGATAGCGATTGCATTTAACTCTTTAAGGGGATTTGGGTGGGGAATGTTAAATCTTTTCTTAACTAGCCCTTATTGCTGTTTCATTTGTGTTGAAGTTTGTACTACTTATCATTAGTAAGTAGTAAACAAATTAAAGGTGAACTTTTACTCTGGTTGGGCAATTATCATTGCACATCCAAACATCCTAAGAAACTGTAATGGGTTCTTAGCTATTCTGTGGAAAATACAAACATTTTTCCTGACTAATAACATGGTAATAACAATTTTGTCCAATCACATAACCTCTTCGTGGTTTGCACATGAATATTATACGAGCAGTTTTGATAACGCAAAACATTCATCGTATCACACTAAAATATTAACCCTCCAAGTAGCCATCATGCAGCAGTTTCTAATCAGAATACTGTCACATAATCAATATACATTCAGAAAATATCAAATAAGCAAAATTAACTCTACATATGAATCGGGTCTATTTATTCTAACTTTTAACTGAATATGGAGTTGATAAGGCAGATAACGACTGGTTTAATGTCTGTCTAAAAAAAAGACAAATAAAACAAGACAAAGTGGCAGGGGTGCAGAGAGAGAGATGAATTCACAAGGAAAGACACTAAATAATTCATTCGGATTTTAGTGTTCTCACTTTTGAAGGTGCAATGTTTTAACGGATCCAACCTCACCGTATTCGCCTTTATTGGTTTGAAAGTGCTACAGAAACTTCGATTGACGCGACAAAGTTTCATATGTAATTACAATAAGCATTTGTCTAGAAGCATTTCAACTGGTGACAATGACATTATTTAAAAAACTGTAGAGAAATCAGATGATTCAAACTGTGCACTGAAAGACTGCTGATACCACCTCTATTTCTGTGCATTAGAGGAGATGCATCATGCACCGTTATTAACAACGGAAAGCTCACCACAGAGGTCTAAACGAATCTAGTAATAAGATATTGCTGCAGAGGGTGTCCAGCATCTACCAAGTGGACTAAGGCCTTACTATTTACGCATTTGGTAGGTAATGGACACTCAGAAAAACCAGATAAGACGCTGCTGGCTATCTACTGCGTCCCTGGTAATTTGCCTAGGGGACCTCGAACACGTCTTCCATTGGCAGTTCAAATGGTAGCGATCAGTACCAGAACCGTTGGTCCCTGTGTCAAAAAGAAGTATGTTCAACTGCTTTCTTCAATAAATCTTGTATAAACATTGGTAATTAACACAATAAATACCTAACCTGTCTTTTCATTGGCGAATATTTTTTTCAGATTTTATATGACTTCATGGCTTCTCTCATTAAGCATATCACCCTATGTTAGCTTAATGTTCCATTTCGCCTTAATGAATTCATTATTACCTGATAATCGTGCATTAGTAGTACTTACGTGTCTATTACTCCATTTTGTACTTGTCCCATAGCATACTTTCTGATGTAATTCTATTTTGATTTTCCTACCTACTTTATGTCAAAATTAATGAATTTATAATTTTAGAGCATGAAGAAGAAAACTGTTGTTCGCTCTAATTATTGTTGTATGTTTGTTATCAAATAATTCACAAAATGTACCTATTCGTTTATAAGGAAGGGGAGTTGTTGTTTTTCAGCGAATAATGGGAAGAAATGAAATGCAAGATTCTTCTTAAATTAAATTACGTTACACTCATTGGTTGGTAGTAAATACGTACTGTTAACATTTGATTTGCCGAGACGTTTCGACTCGTCAACCAAGTAACTTCGTATTCTGAATATTCCTTCCAGATTTCGAATGATTCATGGTGTTCGACTTGTTGAAAAACATCAGAAGCAGTTTAACCGAATAGAATGTGTGGAAGATTCAACATTGGAAATTGTTTTCAAGGATGTAGAGCAAATAAGATGAAAACAAACATGTCGGATACAGAATAGTCACATAAACATAACACGAATGTGCACCTTAACGGAATATATATTCACATGAAGAAAATTCGATATTGCTTGTTCTATTTTAGTACTTCATCTACCAACGATCTTTATTACACCAGTTTGCCTAAACATCACAATAAAATAATTAGGTCAAAGGAATTAATAAAAGGATGGCTGCAGAGAAAAAAATCTTTTATTTTTTAAAATTTTTATTTTTGATTACAGCTTGATTCCACACTGTATTTTTGGTACAAGTATGGAATTTTCAGCAGGTGATATCGGTAGCCCAAATTTTGCAGGCCGACCATAGTTATCAGATATGATCTTACTACTTTTTTATCTTAACTTATTACCTAATTTGCTACTACTACATATTTAATCCCCGAATGAACAAAAAAGTTACGTTTCTCAGTAATTACGACCTTACTATGTTTTTTATTCTATCTCCTTGTTTGTTACACTGTAATTTTTAACCCTTGACGGGAATTGGTTCTGGAGCTTTCTCACCGACTTGCTATAAATACACAAATTTACGATCTAGTTGATGACAACATTCTTTTCTCTGCAGTCATTTTTTAAAATAATCAGACTAATATAGTTGTGCGATATTTTCCATCTGTGTGTAGTTTACAGTGTCTGTGATCAAATCTTAAATGCCTTCAGTTTATTTTATAATTTTACGTGTGTGATGACTAATAACGCCGAAAGGTTGATATGAGAGAGTTGGAGGCAGTCAGTAGGATGCTTTGCTTGATCTAAGTTTTGTTAGTTGTCACTTGTCAAAAAGGCGCACCTGCAACCTTAGAGGGAACTCATATCCCTTCTGAGATTCGAACCCGCGTCACCCAGTTTTGCAGTCAAAGACGTTACCACTGAGATATTTGGGCTCGCGATTGATCTCCTGTAGAACTGTTGTAGCTATTTTGATTGGACGCCTGACCTGATAGAATTGAATCTGCACCAAAGAAAGGACTAAACACGTCACATAAGTTACTAGTGTCCGATCAAATATCCAAATTGTTTCGTCGCTATTCTCCAATGAGGGAGAAATTTATCATCTATTCTGGAAGTTACTTGTAGACCCCTAACATTTCCTCTTGCTCTGGTGAATTTTTCATCGTTTAAAGAGTATGATATCACCAAAATTAATATCGAAAGGTTTTCGACCATACTGCTTATGATTCCTTATATGTCTTTGCTCAGATTTCTGTTGATGAAGTGATAATTTTATTGAAATAAAATTTATAACATTACTTTGACCTACTCATGAGTAAGTTAAAGAATTGATCAAAATGAATCGGTCCGCTCTAAAGCAAAATCTATTTGTTTTTATAATTGGTAAAGCGTACGGAAAATGTCATTATTTACTGGATGAAAGTGTAATCAACAATTTGATTGCTTACATGAAGAAGGTCGAACCAGTTTATTGAAATAAACTTTGGAACTGTCCATACTTTCTATGTATGTTCGCTTCTATTTTGAAAACTGGAATTTTTTCAGCTAGCAGCCTAAATAGGTGAATTCTTAGTGAGAGGCGGGAAATATCTAGCCTCTTTATATTCATTCACTCATTCATTCCACGAAACAACTTCCAAATGTCAGCAATCATATTTCAGTTTTCATAGTCTCCAATAATTAATGAAACTATCGTTAGAAATCCTTAGAACATCTGAATGCATGATAAGTCCTAGTGAAATTTAATAAGTATGCACAGGTGTTTGATAATTTGCCACTTGTTGTAAATAAATCTTTCTCGATGAAAAATATTTCAGGGATTATAAAGTATTCTCATAAGAGTTTAGGAAGGTTTATTTTTGTAGGTGTAATTAAAAATTCAAATAATGAATAGTCACTTTTATAGATGCGCTGGTCAAACAGATCGTACAGTACATCAGTACACAAGAAGATGAATATTACCATGCAAGTAGTTTTGACCGGTCTTGATAAACTTTTCAAAGCAGTAGAAGTGAAATAACACTGTTTTATAATATGGTGTAGCTCGTCACTATTATATTAATAAAGTTATCGCGAAAGGAAATTGTTCTTGCTAACAATAGTTCGAAGCCCCAAAATACTGATCAAGCTCGTATTAAAATGTTTCCTAGGAGAACTCCGCAAAATTCAGTGAGTCCTGTTTTTATTCGATGAGCTTACTTGAGCTTTACCTTGCACGGTACTTCCAAATAACTCCACGTCTTTCATTTCTTGTTATGTAGTAAGCTCTACAATGCAGACGTTTATCTTCGTTGTTAGTTTTCTTGGCCGGGAATGAATCTAGCTTTCATTGGTAGAACTATCTCGTAAGATTCGTCTGTAGTCTGAACAGACTTCAATTGACTACTGAATATCAGAGTTAGACTTGAGCAGAGAATATTTTTTCGTCTATTCTTGTTACTCCTGTTTGAAGGCGCTGTATAAGGAAGTCGGTTTGTGTGATATTGAGTACAGTTAAATCGCTTTTGTGATTAAATGTGTAATTCGGAATAAGGCTAAGAGTTTCCAGCTAGCCAATTTATCTGCAGTTAAAACTGTGACCTCTGATAACAGCATTTTGCACACTGTTACTATAATCACTAACCGTCAAATATAACCTTTCTTTTCAGGAAGAAAGACCATATACTGGGATTAATCATTTTGCAATAGCGCAGTGGATTTCTCCATGATGTAAGCTCAGTTGTAGCTCGAGATCAATAACAGAAAATCAATTATTTTGCACACTGTAGTCCTGTGAAACCCGTTAAGTTTAATTTTTCAATGTAATTTAGAAGTCGTTGTTATTTTAATGAATTAATTTATTGTTAATTTACGATTAATAAAAGTTTACTTAAGAAGTTGAAATGTCAAAAGAAACTGAGTTTGTTTTTAATTATTAATATGCCAGCATTTGCCTAAAAGTGGAAGGAAAGTAACATGGATAACTTTTTTGAGAAAAGAGTATCTCTTGCGGTAAATATTTAGTTATGTTTGATTTTATTGAAGCAAAAGACTGTTTAGTTATCTGAATTAATGGAACTACCCACAAAATTTAAAAATAACTGCCCGAAAGTAATTGCCATTTACTTCGCCTAACTTAATAAACAGATCTTTCCCTTGTGCTCAATTAACTCGTATATTATGCAATAAAGATTCGACCTTTACCTATTACAATTGTTTTAACAGTGACTTGTATGACTTCCCATGACACACCATGACAAAGTCAATGCCATAAAGGTCTTTCGGTCACTAAATCATTGAAACGTTTGCTTCAAATCCCGCTGCTTATGTATATGTGTATACATATGTTCGACTAAAGTTAAGCGAACAATTTCCATGACAATAATAGGAGTGTAGAACCTGGGTACTGTGGCCGAATGTAACTCCATATGAGATAAGTTTATCTGATTTACCACAAACCGGTACAGCAGTTTTTCTATTGGTCGGGTGGCGTTTCGAGTACAATTTATTGAACATAGCCATACCTATCTATTCATATAGTTTCATAATTGGCTTCATATATGTTTAGTTTTCTCTGTCTCCCTCTTCCCCTTGTTGTTTGTTAGCAGGGCTCACTACCCTGAGTCTAGGTAATCTGATAATCGGAATGATCATGATCTACTAGCTTGACTTATATAAATGAATTCGCAGTCATCATATGTCGTTTGGTAGATTATATTACTTTGCTTGATGGGATCGATTAAGTCGATTTATATACCACAACAATACAAACAGTTATATTAAGGGCCCATTTATCAAGCCTTTTACTTTTTAATCAAAATGCCGGGAATTCAGATATATGCCTATATCAAACGTCAAATTACTGCTGCGTTTTATAATGCTCGTAATGTCTAATGCAAGACGCTGTTTGGGATGCGAGTGAGATTCCAAGCTGTGCGGATTGGTCTGTTATTCAGTTTTATTTCTGATTACTAGAAGTATAATCATGCCTTAGTTAAATCTATTTCATGATTTTTGAATGATTCAAAGGTTTCAGTGGTACTTACATATGTAAGAAACAATCGATTTTAAGAAATTTTTCGACATCCAATGAAATTATCATCAATCTTGATGACAAGTTGAATTCCCTATTCTAGTTTGTATTCTGAAAAGTTTACCTTGAACGAAGTCGCATGATGTAGCAGAAATGTTGAATTTTAGTGATGAAAAACTTACCTTCTTGTAACAATGGCATTCTTTATGCACCGAATGGGCTTTAGATAAAGGGAATTAAATGAAATTGAATAAGTCATATGCAAACCAATCATATTTTCGTGCATTTATTACATGAAATTTAGACATCTACTGATAACAAAAAACTATTATATTTTTAAAGATAACTCCATAACACCACGATTAAGCCACGAGATTATGAAGATGTGGATGATTATTATTACTATCATAATTTTTAATACTTGACTGACAATTATTGCAGCCTGATTTCAAATATCACTAAACGCTTCAATTTAGGCAACTAAACATCAATCAATAAGTTTGGCCGGTAGATGAAATTTCTGTTCACAGTAGTTTAGTTCTAACTGTATAACGAAGTTACCTTATGAAGGCACTTCAAACGGATGTAGAAAATTTCACTTTGCATCTTAGCGTTCAGATTTGAGGCAAATCCAACAACACATAACTAGATCAACTGCTCTCCATATCTTGTGGGAATTTTACATTCAGCTTGGTAATTTTATGTTTTGGATTATGTCGTAATATAGCTAAAATTGTATTTATTGATACTTGTTTGAATGGTTTCATCTTTTAAAATTCTGAGAGTTTTATATTTTCTCCAGTTTTTCATACAGAAGGGACTTACTTGCATCGCTATATGAGTCAAGTATTCAAATAAACGTCGATCATAAAAGCTGGCAATACTTCACTTCAATAAACATTATTTATAATGACTTTGGTTCGTTGACGGTTCAGCTATAGAGTGCTGGCCAACATCCTATGTGATCAGAGATTCTATCTCTGGCCGATGTGCTCCTAACCCTCACCAGGCCGATGGTATGGTATGTAAAGAAGGGGATTGGAGCATGAAACTAGTAACCTAATCCCATTAAAATAAAAAAGCGATTCCCACTGAAATTTCAAAGGTCTAACAAGAAGCCTTATGTTCCACTTGGCATGTGAAGAATGAGGCAAATAAAACTATTCAATTTGGCTCTATAAAATACCGTGATTTGCGTGATAGGTATCACACAACTATTATGAGAATAATTAACAACACATTTTCGAAGACTCTAACATAACTCCGAATTCCATGTTAAATGTATGACCCTGTTTAGTGGAAACAACTGATGTCAGTATGTCTGTTATGTTTTTGCTCTTATAGTAAATCGCATTCTCTTCGAAGCCACGTGCAGTTAAAGGGAGCAAATGAATGCAATCATTCTATGCAGTCTTGCAATTCGCATCTTTATCATTGTGTTTACACTCTACTAATTGCAATCGGTAGGCTATGAAATGTTATCAGTCTCAGCATATTTCTAAAGAAAGTAACCGGACCAATAGCCGGTGAAAAACGATTATGAATTTCAATAGTAAGATGAACGTACTTCCAAGAGTTCTGTCATAAAAGAGAATTAAAATGTTTTACAAAATGATTATGGTTTCAGTTGAGAAGAATATATATTACATAGTCACTGGTATTGTGAAGTTGTTAATTTTCCTAGGAATATGGTTGCACTTCTACCTTACTTATTTACATCGTGGATTTACGTAGAGAGATGTTAAACAGACCATGAATATTAAAATTTTAAGCTGAGTGCTGCAGATTATCAGTGGTAATCAAATATAGAATAGTTTAAAACATGTTTGGTTGTTTACAAATGAAAATAACTACTTGTAAGGTTGCTGTTATTTAAGTATTATTTAATCGCAAGGCCTTCAGCTCACTTCAGCTTAGAAATAGACGTGAAGACACAGAGTTCATTTGATTTAGGTAGCCTTTATAGCTGATTAGATGGATGCATTAGGTCAGAAGACTAGTCATTTATTTATTCTTCAAAATGTTTTACACATTTCATGAAGCTTGCTAGCAAAATATTGTTTTTCTCCAAATGTTATGTAGTTTGATGACCAAACTGCTGTGCTTTTCCATTATTCTCATTAGCTGATTGGTTTTCAATCTTAGAAAGCAATCATAATTCCCCCAATGAATGGGCCTGAAGATGACATTCAGAAAAAATACTTTATGAATTCTTCTCCACAAATCATTGACACTATTATAAAAAAACGTGTTGAAGTTCGGAGAATTTTCGAAGGCATTGCAATGTAATTGATTTATATTTAAAAGTGGATTATGTCTTACTTTTTCCAGCTGTAAAGTGATATTTCATATATTATTACATATTTTAGTACGAGAGCGTGTTTTACGTAAACAATATAACGTTACGATAAGGTCAATATCTCCCCTACTACTATACAAATCAAGTAGATCTGAGAAGAGTAAAACAATCAGGACTAATCATCTGGAGAGAATAATCTGTAAGAAAGAGTCAATATTGACAAATGACTTTGTTTTATATGACAGCATAAAACACTTACCCTGATAACCTCCTGATTGGTGAGGAGAAAAGGATATTGAAGATTAGAGAACTTAAAATGTAAATTAACTCACTACACTGATGAGTGGGAAAAAAAGCAGTTCTACAGTTCTGCGTAACCTTTAGCTAACTAGTCTTCACTAGAAACGACAAGGCATTTGTAGTCGAATTGCAAATGAACAGGAAGTAGAGTAAGCGTCTATTGGAATTTCATCGGTAGAAGAGAACTTCATTTAGTGTTAAATGACAGCTGCTTAGCTAATCACTGCTCAATTGGCAGACTATCTAAAGTTCTGTGAATAGTGTATTTACTTATGATGAGTATTGTATTCGTTTTCAATTAAGAACATTTAACTCACCCAAACTGTCTACAGCTGTAAAACATTTCATAGTTCATAGAAATATATTAAACAACTGCGTCATTTTTCAACGTTTAAGTTATATTTAATTCTAGTTATGTTTTTAAGAAGACAGGATTTATGCTGTCAGCTTCCTTTACTTGTAGACCTGAAAGTATACTGGACTACTTATGAAATTGTTTTTGTTTCTGCTTGAGAATGAATTCGTTTAGCGTCAATTTCACAAAGTTATCCAGGTGTCATTCACTACTGTTTGACGAGTCATTCCAAAATAGTAATTCTAATATTTGGTATTTCACAAATTCTCCATTATTACATTGCCTCTAAGCATAAAACGTTAAAGAATGTGATGCTCATTGTTTTCTGAAAATTTATTAAGATGTAACTTAGTTTAGGGGATTCATCACAGTGGTTGTGAAGCAGTTAGCAAATCTACTATGTACTCACATCATACGTTTTTAATGAAAAGTACTGCATATTTGAAAGAAACAACCTTCTTCTTATTTCTTATTTGCTAACGCGTTTATAAGAACATGTACAGTCGGATAACTCCAAAATATTATTTCATTAACACTTGTTTAGTGTTATCATTGGCTCAGAGAAACAACTCTACATGGTAGATTTGAACTTACATGCGTAAACTGAGTTAGGCGAATAACACAAAGAATTGTTGACACCTGTACTGATTGATTTTATTACACATGGGGTGTTTACACTATAGTTAGGCTGTGAATATCACAAAATATCTGTAAAAATAGTTGATTATTTATTCTGTTATGGAAGTTGAATAAATACAAGGACCATTAAGAGTAGTTATCTTAAGCTACTTTGAAACTTTTAACCAATTCCACTGGAGAATTGGTGAACGAATGGGTCCAGTATGGTACATCGATTAGGCAGGAACATAATGAGCCACCTATGATCGGTAGCTGTGCTCTAGTGACGAGTTTAAAAACATTCACAAACAGTTATCAAATGCTCCCTGACGTTCAGTGACCTCTATAACTGATACTGTTTCATGAAAACATCTAAAAACCAGAATTCATCCAAACCCACACAAGTATCATGTCATTACATGAAGTAATTTCCGACGTTACAACCCAGAAGAAGGAAAGTCAGTTAAAATTTTCCGCAGAAACCTTTGGAAGAAGACATCAGTCACTGGTGAAAGACTGACTGATATCGGGATAAACTGGGGATCTCGTTTATCTGGAGCAGAAAGTTTTAGAAAAAGTGAGAGGAATTCATCGTGAGTAAATCTTATTTGTTTCTTTCCCAAAAGCTTTGAATAAGATGCCAAACGTGTGCCTTATTAAGACAGAAATAACAACCTCTGGTTTTTATATATCACTCTTTAGTAAAATGCCCCCAAACTACGTGTTTCTCAAGTGTTCTTATCATCTCACCGTTGAAATTATAATGATGTATAAAATTAACTAGGAATAACACTTTCATTATCTAATTTTCTCCATAAACATACTTTTGTGTCAAATTTGATGAAGTTTAAGATAAATTTATGAAGCTGTCTATCGTCATAATGTGCATAAAATTCCGAATCACTTACATCCTTTCTCTGGAGGAGCAAATAAAGTTTGAGTTGATATTACGATTAAACATCATAAAGATTGGTATAGGTATGTTTAAAATGATTATTATTCTAAAACACAGTAATAATAATGAAGTTTTATGTTTTTCAGTACTGTTAGCTAATGGATCACGTTATTTTAATTCACTAGATTTCCTTTAAAAAGTGTTTTTAAGCAAAACATTGGTTCTAAATTTTTAGGACTGAAGAATATATGGTTTGACGAAAATGTCAGACATATGATTCCAAATTATAATTAAGTTCACGTCGCTGGATTTTAGTTGATACATACTATCCATTCACAGCCCGGTTTCCACATCTGATGGTTTTAGTGTGTTGATGGTGTCAAATAACTGCGATTATCTGTGTTTTGGGCATTCGTGCTGACTTTTCCTCCAGAATAATAAATCTTTGCTTTCTCAGACAGATACCCGTGTGTTCTCAGTGCGAATATAGTAGTCTAGTCGTCAGACACACACTGTTGTGTGTTTAAGTAATAGTAGAACTAACTTGTAAATCCGGTATCATCCAAATTACAACAAATATGGTTGTGACTCATTTTTCTAGTAACAACGTTTCATCGTTGTTGTGATATAATAGTGCAAAAATTAGTTGCCACTGGAAGACAGAAAACAGAAATTTCTATTAGAATAGAAAAAGCATTCTATTTACTGATAAACCGACTGCAGCTTTAGTACGCGTGAAGCATAATATAATGCAAACCTGACTTTACTCATCTTCTCTGGCATGAACAGAACTATTTTGTGTCAGCTGATGTGGCAGTTCAAAAGTTACACCCATCAGAGAATTCATCAATCTGTGAAACAGATAACGCTCTCTATAAAGATCACATTGAAATTGCAACGTACTTGCTTTTTCATCTGGAAGATAAGATATTGAAATAATTTTATTGTAAATTGTTCGTTTTAATTTAAACTTTCATTTTCTGTGCGGAAAGCGTCACACACTGAACTGATGATTTCCAAAAACATAATTATGGAAATCTCAGATATCGCCTTGCAGTAACTAACAGCCCGTATAATGCACATCAGGTTGGAGAGACGAGAGTAAACAAGTAATTTAAGTCAGACGGATGGTGAATTCTTCGACCGTAGTAGAAAGCAATGATGACGTTTTAGGATGAGTTAAATGCTCTTAATGGGTTCTTCATCTCTTTATTGATAATGTCACTGACGGTCATCAGTACAGGTAAAATAATTTACCCAAGTTACACAGGAATACCACAAAGTAAAATCCTGAATCGCATCATCCTGGAGAAAATAAAAGACTCACTGGATATAGAACTCCAACCAGAACCAGCTGGATTCAGGAAGGGCGAATCATGTTCTGACCAAATTCCAACTCTACGCATCATCATCGCAGAACAAATCATGGAATGGCAATCAAACATCCACCTCAACTTTATAGACTCTGAGAAGGCCTTCGACAGCGTTGAACGCGAAGTAATTTGAAAACTACTCGAGTACTACGGCGTACCTCAAATATTCATCAACCTTAATCAACAGCTGCATGACAACACCATATGTCAAGTGATCCACAACGGAAAACTCAGTAAGGCGTTTGGAGTAAACACAGGAGGCAGACAAGGGTGCTTTTTATCACCAATGATATTCCGAATTGTGGTGGACTGACTGGGTTGTGCATCAGACGGTGAGTGGGAAACGAGAAGATAGGGATATCATGGACCAACGCGAAGAACCAAGAAGACCTGGATTTCGCACGTGGACGATTTATGTTTAATGCCACACAAAATCGAAGACTTTCAAGCAAAACCCGACAAACTGGTCGAAGAAGCAGCCGGTGAAGACAGGATTCCAGGTAAACACAGACAAGACGGAGGTTATGAAAAAAAAGCAGCAACATCCAGCGCCAATCACCATCAACGGGAGGGATTTGAAAGAGATTACTTCATTCACTTATCTAGGGAGCATGGTCTCAAATACAGGCAGTCGGAACGGACGAGGATGTCAAATCGAGAATCATCGGGAAGGCAAGAAACACATTCATCAACCTGAAACCAATATGGAAATCTTCGTCACTCGGCATCAACAACAAAATTCGGATTTTCAATACAAAAAACGTCAAGTGAGTCAGTTCTTTTATACGGAACGGATCAAAACCTTGGCGGGTGGGTCACAAAGAATATTTGCAACAGCCTGTCGCAGACCTTCATCAACAGCTGTCTTCGATCTATACTGAGAATCAGATGTCTGGGCCGGAAAGAATCACCAACAAGAAACTATTGGAACAAACAAAACAAAACAAGAAGCAATCGCCAACAAACAAATATGCAGGAGAAAGTGGGGATGGACACTCACTGAGGAGACCACTGCGTGACATCGCGCGTCAGGCCCTCGAGTGGAACTCGAAACGGAAGCAAGCGGTGAGTGGGACATGTCGAAGGGTGACATGGAGGATATCCTAAGAAGAGGAGTTGAAACAGTATGGACTCAGATGGATGCAGGTAAAAAGTACAACAGAGGGCAGAAGAAAGTGGAGACGTGCAGTTGAAGCCGTATCTTCCACTAGGAACCAAAGGGAATAGTAATAATACACAGAAATATGGTGATCTACTGTGAATCCGGTGAGTCTTTCATCGACAGCCTACTGACTTTGCTTCCCTATCACACAAAGTTTTCATGTGTAGGAAATTAAAAAACTTACACAATTTCTCTATGGTGTGGAATATTATGAATGAAATGTGTTTGAAAATGCCACCACATTTGTAATTTAAACGTTGATAAAAATAAATTGCTTTCGGTGTTCATTACTAATACCACCATGATGCAGTGGATTCTTCAAGTTTTGTGAAATTTCCGTAATGTGCTAGTTGCTGTATATTCATAAGTAAATTATTTGAACAATCTTACAGGATTCTGAGAGCTGTATACCACATCTGAAGTGAACTTTCAATATTTTAGTCGAGAAGTATCGGAATCGTGTATAACACTTAAGCACAAAAGTGCCTCTTTGCCCCATTATATATTAAAGACGATTCGGAAGTTGAAGATAAATAACCCCACAGTAAATAACTGGGTAATTAATTTTGTCAAGCACTGCAGTCACTTAGGTTTCTCTTATATTTCATATTAAGGGCTGAATGTATGATGAAAACTCAAAGACACGAATGGAATTAGGACACCAAGTAGTCACTAATCCGTAGTATTTGTTCAAAGAAGTCACTTTCAGGTGTAAAATACGCTGGATTCTTAAAAATATATCTTAAGCCCAGAGTGGATGACATTTTATCTTTGAAAAATATTGTAATTCTGTAGTACTTTTAGTCCTACTGGAAACTTACCAAGTTCGCCTGTGTGGAGTGTAGTAAAACAAATAACAATGAACTGTTATAAACTTTTAAAGCTTGAAATATTTCGCTAAGTCATGGCGTTAAAGTGTGTATTGGTGTGTTGTGCAGGGAGTGTTACAGTTTACATATGCATTTCCCTAACATAGAAATTCACCAAAGAACAGATCTACGCACTTCCGATTCATTCAGAGCAATCCTTACTTCTGATTACTATCTTCTGACATGTGAGTGGTGACTGGATAATGCATTTTAATAATTCTAGAAAACAACTGAATCTCTCTAGTGATCATATTTACAGGTATTGAACTTCCACGGAGTTATTTGATGAATGAAGGACATTTTCAATGACACTTTAAGTCAACAGGTACACTGTGTGACTATTGAATACACTTTCTTACTCAGTGTTTGCATTTGGAGAAAATAGATTGCCTTGATACTGAGAGATATCCTTATATTAGTAGCAATAAGGCCTGACATTTATAGAATATTTTAGCTTAAAACAGTTTTTTGTCACTAGGCTGTATGCTTCACTGTCTTCTCTGCAAAGTGATCGCAGCATGTTTGAATGAATTGAGGGATTTGAATTGTTTTCTTCATCCTTACATCCACGAGAAACTTACTTTTCAATCCTTGAAATTAAAGCGAGAATGCAATACCATAGTAAGCAGTATATTTTAAATTATTCAAAACTATAAAAGAGCATTAAACAGTTACTGAATAATGTTCTTCGTCGAGAATTCTATTCAATCTGAATGTCTTTTAATTTACCATATAAAAGGCCCATGGTATACATGTAGGGAATGGGTTGAATTTTATGCATTTTCTGATCATTCACTATTATGATCTTGTATCTGATCACATCAGAAAATCTCATCGAAGAATTGTTGTGCCACCTGATAGTGCATGGACAAGAGACCGTTTAAGATGCCACCTTTCAAAGAATAATTATTGGTAATCGTAAGCTTTTTGAAAGATTTCTTGGTGATTGGATTTCACTGAGTCAGCTGTATTCTAGAGTCAAACACTGTGTAGGTTTTAAAATGCATCAATTTGTAACCTGGACAGAGTGGATTTGTTGTTGATAATGTTAAATTCTGGATAAAATTATGTTTTCTGTACATGTTTCCAAACCTTATTTAGGTTGAAGTTAGGCTTAATTTTATGCAAAAGGCTGTTTTCGATGAAATCATCAAATGTCTAACTGAACAATGTTGGTCATTTGAAAACGTTTACTTAATATCATGTGAAATTTAAGGAAAAAGAGAATTCTAGAAACTACGTATGAATTTATGAGTCACTTACCATCACCTTCATAACGATTAGCAAGAATATTTTATTAGGCTTCCTTATTTGTTAGAATTGAGAACAATCTGGGTAAAAAGGTAGTATCTTAAAAAATTGCATGTGAATCGTGCGTTCTTCTGTTTTATAATAATAGATGAACAAAAGTGCTTTTGTAATTGATCGATCAATATATTTCTCACTCTTGAATTTTCACCTACACTGGTGTTTTTACGGGATGAGTTTGTAAACCTCACGTCCAGTTTTCCCTCTTTATCGGGATACCTCCCTGCTGCTAGGGAGCCTGTCAACGGGGAGATAACTTCTTAACTCCACAGAATCAGAGAAAGGGTGAGTTAGAGTACAACAGTGTTGATCCCAGTACCTCTAGTCCCGCTAAGAAAGCGCTGGCTCCATGATGAAACTGCCAGGTGAGGATAGGATTTTAGTCAAGCCACTACGGAGTTATGCCTTAAACCAGTTCTTTAGACCGTTTCGCAACTTCAGTATCAAAATCTCCGTTAAACTGCCCGTCCTACTTTTTTTTATTAATCTTCGGCAGTACACACTCATCGAGGTTCGAACCCAGATTATTCCGATCGCAAAGCAAGCTTGCAGACCATTCTGCCAGTTAAGCAAAGCACGCATCGGAGATGGTGTCTGAACCAATGCTCATTTCTTATTCCACCATACCCAGAAATTTATGTTTAAGTCTGATACATTAGAACTCCCATCAGTGAATTAAGACTTGTTTTTCCCTGAAGATTTGGCTCGCCAACATAATCATTTGATTTTACACCTGGGAAACTATTTGGTGTCGTTAGCCCTCAAATCATGTTTTTCCAGAGAGTAATGCATGAAAATCTGCCTCTCGCGACCTAATTCTAATAAACATTTTTTACTCACCAGAAAAGTCCACTGTAGCAAATGGCAAAAATACGGTATTTGTTCCAAACATCATTTTTGTGTTCAAAATTTAAAATTTGCAAAAGTAGTTATTAATAACCACAAAATATGGCAACACAAAAATCTTAGTGATCTAGAACCCTGGAAGCTACAAGCGAAGTTAGAATGCTAGGATATTTACTTTTTACACACGGAATCAATTCGTCACACTTAAGTTATCAGAACAGCATGATATAAATAAAATTAGATAAGACTAAGATGTCTGAGCTGCATGTTTTCACATAAAGTTTGCTTTCAACCCATCATTCATCATTTTCCATACTCTCGTTTCTGATTTCAGAATATCCTAAGTATTCGTGATTGAATTTTTAGCCATGATTCACTACATTATCATGAAATGAAACAAGTCACTAACTTACAGAAGGCTTCTGATAATCAAACAGTTAGAACAGAAATGAGATTGCTTAAAAAAAATCATAAAAGCTGTTTTATTGAGATCAAATGCAGTTAGAAACCACTGGTCCTATTAGGAAGTGCAAACTTCCTAACATTTGAATATTTCAGTCAATATTTTTATTCTTATCTGTCAAAGTTAATGTAAACACACATTTCATCGTATGTTAACAGATTCATGATAATGTTCACCAAGATATTAACTTACGCACAGTTCCTGTACACAGAATAAATATACACAAAACATTCATTATGAAATTTTGGCTTTTCGATTGAAATTGGTAGAATCTTTTCATCACCTTATACAATTAGTCGATAATTACCAAGATGTCTGGGGTTTTAACTTATGATTATAACTGCTGAGCAGAGGTTAAAGATTATATGAGAATCCAGACCACGTCCCTCCTGATTATTAACCTTGCTTTTTATTTGCTAAGCTATATGACATGACCGTCAAAGAGATCACTACTACCCTTTACATTATTTTCATTCTCTCATTCAAGAGATTTTTTTAAATTAGTATAATCAACATTTGTGTGAATATCAGCAAGAAGATTAATTATAATTGTATTAAAATGCTATCATCTCCACAATGGACGAACTTTTCAGTGACGATAAATCAGCAATGAACACTAGAAATCAAAATCAAACTGTTTCCAAGATGATATTTAATCTCACCAATTCCATTAGGTAAATTGATGTATGCACTAACGCTTTGTACGACATATGAAGAATCTGTACGCCAATAATTTCGATTTTGCGGATTTGTTAGCTGATATATTTTTAACTTCTTTGCAATTAGGTAACAGAAATAATCATCCATTAACGTTTATTTCCTTCACGTTCCCAGTGGCATATAGGGCTTCAAACTAGTTGTTTGAAGTTTCTCTAGCAGCGTTTAATTTTACAGGATGGGGTTGCTAACCTCATGCCCAATATTTCCTCTTTACCAGCATTATTTCTGGCTTAGCAAGGTAAAGGAGTGAGTCGGTCGGGGATCGATCCCCAGACTATGTATATGGTCGGCTAGCGTCCTAATCCCTGTGCCACCGATGCCATTAACTTTCAATGATAGTAAAATACTCTGCATGGAAAAGTTTAAAACCACATCAGTGTACTGGATAGCTTCAGCCATCATAAAATCTATTATAACGGACTTGAACGACATTATCAAAGTTTCTGTCAACAGGAGCTGAAACCTCAATCAGTATCGTATTTGTCTGGACTAACTGTTACTCTTCCAGATAACAAGGAAGAAACATATACGAATTTTGTCACAGTAACAACGGCAATAACAAAAAGATTTTGTGTTATCGATATTCATCACTTACTTGCAGAATCTTAATGGTGTTAAAATAATACATACAGTTTTGTTTAACTTCACTAAACATATTACCGTTGAATCTATATAAAACTCTTACTGAAAATACAGCCATGTGAATGCCCATCAAATTAAGATGAATAGCACGAAACATAAACCAATCTGAAATGAAGAGCTTTCAGTCAGAAAAGAGAAACACTGTCATTGTTACATAAATACGTCCGTTCATGTTTAAAATTGAAGTTATTACTAAGCAAGAGGATTGCTACAACATGAAACATTTAGATATTGCTTCTCTGCGTGAAATGACAGATTGACAAATCCGAGTAAGCATAAGGTATACTCATATACTGAAAAGATAGGGTGTGTACAATGAGTAACTAGTTAACATCATCTGAATACCGCTTTCATCGTAGAGTTACAGATTCACAATGAAGTTTCTAAAATAAAGACATCATTAAATGAGACAAACAAAGATGCGAAGTCTAAACAGGAGACTTTTCTGGGAATACAACTGACAGATTTTTACATTTATGAAAAAGATCTGTCTTCACCATGTACACTGTTAGTGGCTTCACATGAAATATTAGCCGATTTGATGGGCTACTTCAATTGATCTAAAGATTAGAGTTGAACATATTTGAATCAAACAACAAACAGTTCAGTGACAACCACAAATTTATTCAGGAATACTACGTTATTTCGGAGAAAATGAATTCGTTGTTTAAGCTTAAAGTGTCAGAAGACATTTATCTCAGCATAGCTGGCAGTTATATGTCATCTTTGTCTTATGAAAATATAGAAAATTACAACCACCTGTGGATACCCTTTCTCGTTTAGCGGGCTAATTTATGCTTCATTTTGTATTGGTTTACATTCCGGTGAACTATTTCATGGCAATTTATAAAACTGTCATACTCATACCATTCTACCGGAATGGTAAGTGAGTTAATGTCAGACAATATTCTTACTCAGGCAGCGATTACAATCATTTTATTTTCTTTGTGTTATTTTATTAAAGGTTTACATAAAAGTTAACTGGACCAGTGTAGAATAGGTTCTGTTACACAGTATAGCACTGAGTTTATTTCTGCAAGTATTCACAGTGAAATAGGAATGAAATACGTTTTCAAATCGACTGGTTAAAAACAAATCAGCATTTCCAGAAAGGTAAGTGTCACTTCAAATAACTGGAAAGACGTCCTTATTCATAGTAGATAGCATTAATTTACAAAAAATATTTTGATTTAGTTATAAGTTAACTTGTATGCTTACCACAGAACCCTTTAGAAATTGTGTTTTAATAATTAAAATGTATGAAGATCACATTATGAAATAATAAGTCAGAAGTTATGTATATTGTATCTATAGCAGATATGAATGCCCAGAAAAATTGTATTCAACCCTCCTGTGTCACAGTGACAGAGGCGAATGCGAGAACAATAAAAGATTTTAGTGTGAATGCTCCTGGAAATGCTATGTTTGAAAAAATGCTCAACTTCCGGGTGATTAAACTCAAATTATTCAGCATGATTGCTTATCATAGTGAATGGTAGATGCATTTTCTCTAATGTAAATTAGCTTATATTTAATAAACTTTACTAGTGCGGTGCTAGAAATGCGAAAGGAATATGATACAACTTTTGTTCTGTTGTATGTCAAAAATTACAGCACTAGCAAAACAGCTTTCTCGAATCCAATGCTTATTGAATAGCTTCTGTATTTCTGCGATTTACTTTCTTACAAGTGTATATTCGAGTGAGATATTTTCAATATCTTCACTGATTTGTAAGCTCCTAATGGACAACGTCCGCATTGAAAATGAAGTACTTCTGTACTACAATCGAGAAAAAATTCCTACTGAGAACAGACTAGTAAATGGATTATATCATGTGGTTTTTAGCCGCAACGAATGAAAGGGACCTCGTACACGTTTTGTCTTGTTTTAAACATCAGACGTTTGTCATCAGTTTCTCTGTTGCGATATTCATTACCCTTCCTTCTATAAACGAAGTTGCTGTCGCTTAGAGTATTATCCTTTATTCATGAACTTCAAAAAGTCTTTCAATGCGACCGTATCTTTTGAACTAATTATAGGTTAGCTAACATGTCGTTTAAAAAAGATCTGATGAAGGTTCTTAACAAATATCCCTCAAATGGCTCAAGATGACTCTTTGTTTACAAAGCGAGTTTTTATTTCCTGTATAACTGAAAATACACTTTGAGTGGATTCATTGTTTATTAGTCATAATCCTTCACAACCCAATTAGCTCGAAGGGTCGCGCTATGTAATAAATTGGAAGGAGATAGAACTTATGGTCTGGCTACTGTATCGCGTCCCAGTGACTTAAAGATCAACGGGCTCGCCTTGTAACCGGAAATTCATGGGTATGAACCATGGATGGATCATACTGCGGAAGAGTTTACAAAAAATGGGACGAAGCCACTGTCCATTATTCCTAGGTGGTTTTCCGGGGGTTCTCTGACTGACGTCAGCTCATGATGAAATCCCTTAACCAACCAAGATCCATACAAAACCTATACTTGAAAATAATCTGATGCTCACTAGAGACTGGCCATATTGATGCAGTTATGTGGGGTTCTAGGGGCCATTAGGGTAAAACAGGTTGAAAGTGAGGCACTAACGCATAGGAAAAGAAATGCTACTTAAAGGTTCCTTCTTTGAATTTCGTGTTTTCATGTAATGCTAATGAAAGCTGAACTAATAGTTTGTGAAATATTCATTTTACCAAGGGATTTTGTGTTATATTCTCCGTGAATGTAAGCCAGGAGTTTCTATGAATTAAACAGTTTAGAATAAGTTCAATAAAAAGTCAACATCCATAAACTTACATAAGCCATCTACAATGTAGGTAGAATTAAATTGTATTTATTGATATTAGTTTACACTGTTTTGCTTGTTTAAGTGATGAAATATGGGAGATTAATTTGACTCTTGGCCGGTAATTTTTCTGGAACTTTCCCACCCATTTATCAGAAATACATGAATGTACAGCTTAGTTAATGACTTCGTCGAAAAGAAAATTTTCTTTGTTGCAACCGTCTCTTCAATAATTCCTAAGATTAAATTTGACCAAAAACTAGGTTGCTAAGCATTCACGAGATGAAGAATGCTGTTTTTACTAAAGTTGCTGTAGTATGATTAGCATGCATGAAATAGCAACCAGTCAATGAAAATAGTATTCAATCGGTATTTCTACCTATTTGACAATGTAATCATTACAAATAACTTCTAATATCACAGGTGACAAAGTGATACGACTTCACAATACTTCTAAATTCCAGATCAAGCAACTAGGCTTATTGTGTATAATATTAGACCATTTACCAGACTTGTATAACATTTTGTGTTACGAGAAAAGCAAAATTCTGTGATAAAAACACTTGTCATTATCAGTAATACAACAAGTTCGATTACACTAGCTTCTAGCGAATACTTCAGAAAATAGTTAATTCCATCTTACAATTTAGTCATAAACTTTGATTTAAAAGTCTTTAATACTGTAAAATATTATTAATTTAGCTTTCAACATGCTAAATGTCTTGCTGGCATAACATGCATACAAATTGTTACCTAAATCCACAACAGACCAATGTATTATGTGAAGAGCATCAATAAGCACACAACTTAAGTCAAGATCTCTCTCTGTCTCTGGAGTTAAGATCAATCAGTCAAAGTAATTATGACTCGTTTGATGTGATACTTTATTTATTTCATTTAGAAGACGTCATCTTACCAATAACCACTGTGAAAAGATTATGTTTAGAGAAGTAATTTTTAACTTTAAATTTCAGGAATAAATTGTATCACAGAATAAAAGTTATTTTACATTGTCAGACTGATATGCGATACGCGAAGCAGTGATTCTTTCTTTAGCATAGTGTTGATTAAACTAACTCAGGCTCGACTTTGAACACTTCAATGACAGACATTTAAAAATTACACCTCCTCGTGGTTTTTACGTATCGAAGATTAAAATTCTCCAAAGAGTATATACAGATGGAGGAAATCCCTTGAAGTTTGATTTGAACACACCACATTGTTCTTTAATATTTGCGCAGAATTATGCAGGATGTGAAATGTTTGCATACATTAATTCGTTTTTATGATAATATTTCTATTACAAGTATCCTCTGATTGAACACTAGTAAGTAGTGTGGCGTGTCTGGTCCTCTCTTTGGTGCAGACTGAACTCTGTCAGTCAGGTTTGCAATGTGTCCACCATTCTAGATAGCTTACCATCACGGTGCACATTGATTTGATGATACCAGATGGTTGAAGCAATCGGAAGGAAGCATTCGACCTAGGTTTCGTGCTAGTTGTCACTCGTCATGAAGGCGTATCTGCAACCCTGAAGGAACTCATGTCCCATCTGAGATGCGGACCCGTGTCACCCAGTCAGCTCACTGGTAACGTATCTCACTGCAGCAGTGGGTGAGGGGGGTTTAAATCTCAGAAGGGAAGTGAGTTTCTTCAAGGCTGCAGATATGCGTAGCTGACAAGTGACAACTGGCACGAAACCTGCCGATCGCCTCCAACCATCTAATATCATCAAAACAAATATCATCTGTTGAGAAGGTTAAGATACTGCTTGTACTTCCGTCTGTTTTCTGTTAGTTAAATATTAATTTCTTATTTGAAGATGAAAAGCCCAATTACCTATTTTAATGCGCCATTTGTACTTACAAAAGTGGAAGTCATCAAAATGAGAATATTAAACACTTAGTCCAAACTAGTATCTAGTTTTAATGTTTCAAAATCATGAGAATTTTACTTACTTTTGGCTTCTATTGGTTAAAAGAAGAAACGCTTTCAGCTCCGTTCCGTATTTCCTATACATGATCACTAAGTGGAGAACTGAAAGTCATACACATGAATCATATTCCCACACTTCCATATGTAAAAGAAGTAACTAAACGAATTTGACATTTGAAATGTTTTCCAACATAATTGACTGCATGATAAACATTAACTGCTGTTGACAATAATTAAAAATGTAGACATATTAGTATTACAGTCTGAAAGCAGCTTACCTTTTTTGACTGGAAGATAAGATTTAATGAATGCAGAGGGTAAGAATATTGAATATTGAATACATTGATAAGTGCTTGCATAATTTCTTTTTCGTAACCATATATAATGTGTCATCTGCAACAATTCCAATTAACAGCACTGAGAATAAATGAATGAATCTAAAACATGAATCTAAAAAACATGTTTGGGTGTTCAGTTTTTAATACAGCTTCTATTCCATTTTGTTCAACATACTGATGGTTACGTAACACAGCATCGTGATAACATGTTGGCGATGATTATTCTGAACACTGAGAACTATTTTTAGGAGTATTCATGTTTTGGAATTTCGCAGAAAAAATAGCGGCTTTGCAAAAATTAATCTGAAAACAAACAGTGTATGGAATTGATGTCCAAAGTGATTAAAACAGCTGAGCATTTTAAAATTGACGTCTGAATTTCGCTTACCAATCTCACCTGAGCGAAAGCCACCAAAAATATCCAAGATTTAGGTTAGCGAAGTGCGAAGGCTTCCAAACAAACGCGCATAGAATAGGACTGTTGTATTCTGGTTTTACGTGACGCTCTCAAATGCTCCAGGCGTGAACAGTCGAAAATGGAATATCCTGAAAGACACGGCTGTTAAATGCTAGTTGTATTGGAACATCTGTGCACCATGCAGCTATATTGGTCACTATATTGGTGAAAACTGGCTGTATAATAAAGAGTCGTCATATTTATTTGATAATGTTTACATTCTAACACATACTTGATATTATGCCGATACGTATGTGTTAGGGTTTATTTTTTCCAACCGCTTGCTTACACGTAAGCAGTTTTAAGTGGATCATTTTTTCTCGACTACTGCAAGTGAAACATGGACACCTATCTATTCATCTGACAAGGAATAATATGCTGAATGGTAATAATAATAATATGCTAAACTGTTGTAACCTATGAAAAAATTTGGAAACACTTTTGATATAAGAACTTACTCTTTTTATCTACAAAACAGCCATGGAACAATGAAAAGAATTAAGTTAGCAAAATGAAACTGTTCAGACAAATATTAACAGAATGTGATCCTTCTATTTTCGTGTATTGTGTTACTTGTAATTGCTACGGATATAAACGTTTGAAAATGTGAGTATTTCCCCGCAGAGTGAGACTAACGGTCAGTGCATTCGCCAGGACTAGTTATATAACAAACACTGAAAAAAGAAATTTTCTTTGTCCATACGTTAAACTATAAAAAAGATTGAAGCATTCCTGTTGTGAATGTGTGAAAACCAAGGCCTATCTATTAACGAATTTTCAGATAAAGGAAATGATGAATTCTACACAATTATGCCTCTTGATTTACTTGAATAAGGAGAGAATGAACATATTTACAGAATCGTGTGAACACTGGAAATGAATTTCTACATCAATCCAGCTGAAGAACGTCTCAGATACGTGATATTCAAACCTCATAGTTAGTGATTCTGCTTCTACTTTGTTCGGTTTTATGTTCGGAAGGCGGCAGACGTATCATTCCGGAGGGTGTGGTAATACTGTCAAGTATTAGGTCTGACTTAAAAGTTGAATATGTTTTGAGATATGTCTGCCCTTTCTTTTTAAAATATAGTGAGTTGATGTTGACAATTACAGAGTAATGGAATGTAAACTTAAAGTTAGCTTACCTTTAGTAACTGTAGGTGAACCATGCAAGAGTGGAAAAAATAAAGTTAGAGTGGGTTCTATATGGTCTGACCAATATTTACCAATTGTCATCATTGCTTTTCCTTATTGTGCGTCATTTGCAACTCCTGCAGACACAGGAGATTCAAAATTAAAATAAATCGGAAGAAACGTATGAGTATTCCCTAAGGAGTACTGCCAGTTTTAAACTTTATTTTTTGGTTTGATGATAAATTACTCGCATAGGAATCAAGAAATAGAACACAGGTAATATAAAATAAAAGTACTTGTTTTATATAATTTTACTAGGGTAGAAATGCTTTCTTTCATTCAACTTAAAAATGAAACAAAGACTTAACTGATGTCCACACAACAAACACGGTTAGTTAACCGTAGAAAGTACTACTGCTTACTAGTATTGCCTAGAAGAAAACCACAAGAGAGTTGAAAGAAATGAGGCATTTAAATGTAGATAATTAAAACATATACTTGCAGAAAGTGCTCACTATGTTTTAACATCGCATATCCTTTACAACTGTTCCAGATGCCAAATAGTCGAAAACGTAAAAAGTTCAAAGAGAAATGTAGGTGTTTCCATGCAAATAAAAGTTGTGTTCGATGGCTATTGAATTATACGACAGCATGACGTAGACTAGTTACACAGTACAAAGTGGTATCATTCGATTGATGCTATTTACTCTGGGATAGGAAATTGATCGGTTATTTTGTTTATATGTGAAATTATGCAAATTGAAGTATTTGTGTTGTCCGATCTCTTTACATTTTTATTAATCTATGGTGATCAAAAAACATGGATACAAAACGTTTAATTAAAGTCAAAACTTTAGCCTACCCCGTCGATCTGCATGAAAACAACAGAAAAGTGGGAAGAGATGGTCAGGGAAATATTTACATAAAATTATCATTTTATATGGTGAATCAGGTCGCTCACAACTCCTCCAGAATTAAATGAGTCGAACAATTATGAACTATAAAGAGAAGTGTATGTGCTTCTCTAAGAATTCACATCATGTACAATTACTAGTGAAGCGTATGGCAGTGCCAGCAGCTGCCTTTTCTGGGACTGGTTATGTAATAAGTTGTAATGCAATTTTGTTGATGAGATTTACTCTCAAAAATGAATCAGTTTGTTTGTTTATAAATTCAAAAAATGCATAAGTTGAAACATTGATATCCAGTGTGATTGTAAATGGAAGATACTTTTTTCTGAATGATTTCAGGAAGTACACTGGAATGAACTACTGGTGATGACGAGGACATATCTAGACGTATTCAAATTTGAATTAAAAAATTAACTTACTGGTTGCTTTTGAGTAAAAGCCATCAAAGATTGAGAAGATTTAGGGTTGTTTAAAGGCAAATCATTTGACTGCGATTATTAGAATGTCATCATATTTTAGTATTTGAGTCACTTTTCTAATGGCGAAATCAAATGAACTTAGAGATGATGTAATTGTCACATGATACTCTGCCTTCATTCGGTAATTCATAAGCATAAATGTGTATGTTGCAAACTGAAATTCAGGAAAAACAGTTAATCCAAAGCTAAGCGACGCATAATCCGAGACTCCTACTTGATCGTAATGTACGTTAAGTGGTCTTGGTTTATAGTGACATTTTAAGTGCTGTTCGTCAGCAACTGAGCTCAATTCACAATCCACTTAGTTCTTACAAACCATAATTCATCGTAATTTTGACTACCTTATATGAGAAACCGTGCTGACGGTTTAGAGGTAATTTTGAGCCTACACATATACAATCACCTCACTCATACAATATCATTTGCAATAGAAGTTGACAGAGAACTCTGTTAGAAATATATGTGTATTAAGACTTCATAAATCTTTTAGTATAAACGAAGTTCAGGAGAAGCAGAGAAACACCAATTAAAAGCAACAACTGAAGTCGTTTGGTTAGCCGTTTCAGAGTGACCAGAAACTATACTTAAATCAAGACGTTGACATTACTTCGACGACATTCTTTCTGTCAGTTGATATCTACAGTTTTCATTTAATGTAACCTAGGCCCATCCGTATACAATTACAGTAAGATATCTTAATTAAATGTTTATTTTGTTGGATCTGCTTAATGTTGTAGAAATAGCGTTTATGAGACATACTCTAAAGGTGATCAAATCACTTGACAATGAGCTTATGCAATTTCCAAATTATAATTTGTATTTCACTGATAAGAAATAAAAGGTGAAACAAGAGAACAATGCTTACTTCTTTCTGAAAACGTTCAAGCAAATTGTGTTCATTCAAAGTTTTATCAAAGAAAGAATATTAGTCGAGAGAATAGCACTGGAGAAATAAGGCTAGTAAAACGCAGTCTAAAAGACTATTGTTAATGGAGAGATTTAATGCTTATGAGGAAAAAGCATTTTATGCAGTTATTAATAGTGCAAGAGTTCAGAATATTTTTTTTTATGTTGGTGATTGTGTGGTACAGTTTCGTTGTACTATGGTTCACACAATGACTATTGATATATCTTACTCTTTATCTGAAAATGAAAGATTTTCAGTTCACAGTGTGATGTCTATAGACATACTGTATTTCGTGACTAATGATAAACCCCGAAATATCTCACTCATTTTTGTTGAACATGTTAATTATTTTGGTTTCTCGTTGATAACTCGGAGTGAATTGGTCAGCCTCATTTTAACATATGGCCTACCTGTTTATTAGTTCGAATATACTTATTTGATGGTGGTTGGCGATGGGATTCAGGACGCATATGTCACCTTAATCAGGGTGGAATAGATACATCTTGATGAAGAGTCCAAAATAGTTTGAAAGTCGAGTTTTTATTTCCGCGATCATAAATATTTTAGGTCTTAAAGCTTATGATCACTATTCAGTGTGATTTTATAGTGAATACTGTTTTTCTATATAACTTTAACTAAATTTCTACCATCGTGTTATTGAAATGTTTACTCTGTCTATTGTTAGGTGACAATAAATAAATATGACTTCACTCACCCTGAGTCACTTTATTTTAATGGTTAAAAAATCAGTGGAATAAAAACTTCTGAATTTCCATTTGATTTTGATGACAAGCAAATTTAAAATATACAAATTATATTCATCCAAAAGTAAATAATTTAAAATTCACAGACTTACGATTCACTACAAAATATTTGAGTGGTTGTGATCAGTAATGCACCTTCTCAATGAAACAAAAATAAGGCATCTACATTTACTGCATTCTTATGCTCAAACTAAATGCACCAAACAGTGTGTTTCACAAGCAGGTTTTCGATTGAATGGTAACCCAAGTTATTACATCAGTCCTTATTCGCCCACTGCCAATTGAGTAATCTCATTTAACACCCTCAGTTCTTCATATATACATTTAGCGTAAGGCTTGTTTTTATGTATACGTAATCTGCGTATTACACGTTTATCAGCCATCTCTTATCTGTCTTAATTTATTTGTTATAACATCCAAGTGGCTTTATTAGTGATTTCTTGCCTTTTTGGACATCCTACTGGGTTACCACCTTAAAGAAATACCTTTGTACGTGACAATTATTTCGTTTTCAAAAAGTTTTGATTTTCCTTTAAATTCCCAAGTTATCTTTAAATTTTTGCCTATATTGGTTTACATACTTCCTTTAAAATAATCCCCTTACGGCTTTATTATTCCTTATTTTCGACAAGCCGCTTAATTTGTTTATTTGTTATTATACAGTGTCAGATTAAGTGGACCACTTCAAACGATTTCATAATTTTCTTGTGGAATGGAATTTTTCGTCTGTGTTGAAGGATCTCAGTTTAACGATTTAATTTCAGTTGACAACTGATAGTACTCATAATCCTTACTCTCTGAATAAAATGCATGAAATAAACTGATAATATCGCCCGTATTTTATCAAACCAAAGAGAAAAAATATCTACTCAAAAAATGAAGAGAAAAAATCTAATTTCAGTCCATTAGCATAATTACTCATAAAAGAAGTAAGAATGATTTCTTGCTGACAAAACACAGGGTCATTAGTGCCACTTTTTATGTGCGATTATCGTGGTCATAGATAATTGTAAAAGCCAACCCAACTGAGGTAAATGGAATATTGTTAGCTGAGGGAAGTACTTACGAAACTCTTCTATAAAACAGTGTAGGAAATTAACATTTTGTTAGCACTTGGATGATGATAAATTCAGTCATAATGACACTTTTATTCCACATTGAAAAATTAATTACAGCCACAACTCCTGTTTCTTTTATAAATATAAAGCTGAGCTGCATTGAAAAGTGTATTCCTGAGTGTTCGATCATCGAAAATATATCCTCGTAGTGATTAGGTGATCATAAGTTAGCTATTCCATTTGAATGTCTATTTATGCTATTGTTATGCGTCTAAGTGCTAACTGCATTCAATAATTTTCTATTTCTTACGTATTATATTCACACTTTGATTAAACATTCAGAGTGACTCACCTATAAATGCTGTTTATTGTATATTTTCGAAAATGAACACAATAGCTCATTGTTCAGTCTTAAATAATAATTTGATTAGGAGAATAGAATAGAACATTTTACGTGCTTTTACACTTCATAGGCATATCTGAGGAAGAAATTGATCTAATCTTCGTTGTCAATTATACTTCAATTCATCGTATAGATAAGATTTTCCCTTATCGTGGACTTCGTGTTAAGGTCGGAGAGTTTTGCAATATCTGCACCAACTGTGAGTTTATTATATTTTGTTTGTCAAATAACAGGTAATTCTTAGCAGAATTACTATAAACTGGACGAGATACTACAGTGTCTGTTGAGTTTTCGATGCTTGATTCTCCTCTGACAGTTTATTTTGCTTTTCATGTGGGCAGAATCCTCAGCATACCTTTTAGTCTGTTAACTATTCATTCTCTTTCTTTCTACTTAATTTTAAAGTACTTGAAATTTACGCTGAAAACTAAATAATCTGGAAAGTTCAGACATCATAACGCCTGGATACGATGTATACTATGAACACGAGAAAATTAATTTTCCTTCGGTGTGAGTAGAATCTGGTATAATACTTGAACTGGAACACTTTTATGTCAAAATTAGAGCAGCCTAGTTGGTTATTCATCCTGGATAAACATAGATAAAGGCAGAAAGTGTCCTGTTTTAGGACAGAGCTTTACAATAAAGACTGTCTAATAATTTGAATAAAACTTACATGCACGACCTTGATAATGTTTGACAAATTATTTAAAAGTTGTCATTGAGTACATAACCAAATTAGACAAGTTAGATAGAGAGTAAACGTGTGTACAGTGGAACCCATTGCTGTTAGTTTACATGTATTTAAATTTTGATTTAATAAAAGGAATCAAAATAAACTGCATGACACTTTGAGATGCACTAGAGGCATATAAACAGTCAGCGATTCCTGCACATTAATGGACTAAACATTCGGTTTTAATCTAGATATGTGATTATGTTATTGAAATTTTATCCTTATGTTGCCGGAAGGTAAAAAGGCAGTTTTTATGCAGACTTGTAGGTTATTTGTCATGTTATCTTTTCATTTGTCTTCTCAGTCTCACTTGCATTTATTGTGATCATTCTTAACCGACCAGTTTTATACTATTTTTCGCTAAACTATAAATGTGAATAAAAGTCGTATTTCATAGTTTACGATTTACTCAGTTGAAATGAGTCCAAATCAATCACTGCCTTCAATCCATATTGAAGAAAAAATGGTTGAAAAGAATTAGCAGAGTAAAAATATGGTAGCAAACCAACAAAGAAGCTATTGCTCGACAAAGATGTGGAACAGAGTGAATATGGATTAAGCACACAATGAGGAGACCCTTGAATGATACTGTGAGCGAGGCTATAGCTTGAGTGGAACCTGAATGGGTGACAACGAGTGTGATTTCTGAGGATAATATGGAGAGGATCTTGTGAGGAAGAGATCAGAAACTGTAGGCGATTGTGAGGCCATCTAAAGAGGACCGCAGAGAACAAGGCAAATTCAAGTTCTGTTGAAGCCCTGTGTTCCACTCCAAGCCCCATGGAGTGATAACAGTCCATCAAATATTGTCCGGATAATTAAAGTGAGATTCATAATTCATGCCAAATGCGTATATCCTCAATAGGCACACGTCAAATATAAAGTTGTATATTTTGCACCAACAAAGTCGAACATATAAAACTTAGCACCAGAATATATGATTTGGTCGGTAAAAGTCGTCACCACCACATGCTACTTGAAGGTGACGAAAATCGTGTGAAACATCTCACGCTGACTTACATAAGAATCGTTCATCTGTTCAGAATGAAAGCGAAAAAAAGAAATTGTGACGATGATCAAAAAATTGAATTACACTAGAATGAAGGTGAAAATTCGGAGGAATTGGAGAGTTTTCTGTTTCATGAAAATATCTGCTTTACAGGAGGTCTTCTTACAAAAGCGGCCCAGTGTACAATATTCATGATTTTCCAGAAACCCACAGTAAGCTCATTGGCTACGCTCAAGTAAAGTCAGCAAAAGCACTCAAATGTTTCATGTATC